CTCGAAGTCAGTGTCAGTATATTATCGCTGACAGCCATCGTGCGCCGAAACTTCATTTTTTCCGCTATTAATATCTATTTTGACAAGAGAGATTCTGTCAAACGGATTATACGCGGTACTGTAAACACCCTATTAGAAGCGACGAGCGCAAATCATCCATAAAGAACACATAGTTCGGGTTAACGTTATTGCGTGTGCCATTTTCTTCGCATTAGAGGACTACTTTGCCTCTACCCGAGCGTGCCTCCGCCCCCTGTGTCACTCGTATATTCCTTGCGCACGTAAACTAGCCTCTTGTGTTGCTGACAAGCAGTAGTACCGCACCGTTGCTCGCACTATTTTCTTGATCCGTTCGGGCCCGGTCGCCTCTCCATTCCTCGCCACTCGACGTGTCATTTTACTCGTAATTCTCTGCCTCCACTCCCTCCCCCTCCCCTCTCGCACCTTTCCATGCCGCTTCTGTCGTTTCGCGAAGCCCCTTATTGATTGGACGTCGGCTACCTTGGAGCGCGCAACGCTCTGCTTGTTCTCTCGCCTCGTACAGCGCTTCTTCAGCGAGCCCGTGTAATAGAGTGAGAATACTGCTGACGAAGATGTTCTTGAAAGCAAACAACTTAAATCTGCTAGACGCGCAGCAAGCACACGAGGCGCAGTGCGTCTGTTGGTGACATTGAACATTGACGTAGAAGTAGTTTCTTGCTTTGCCGGCGCGAAGAAGCCAACAATTGCTAAGAAACGTATAATCCCCGATGCTATATCTCCCCAAGACACGATTTCCCAAAACAACCTTCCCATATCAATCGTCTATATACTATCAAACTACAACATATATAAACAAACCTGCTCTCTCGTGTGTAACCCCACGTCCCAACCACTGTTGCGTGTATATTTCGTTTGAGATGTGTGTTTTTTGTTCTCTTTTGCCTCCTCGATATTTGAGCTCTGGCACTGGGAATCAGACCAACAGTTCACTTTCTGCTTGTCAGCACGAAAATGCTTGCACGGCAGCGCAGGCTTCGCTGACACTTTCTTAACCGTGCCAGAGGTCTGCCGAATTGTTTCCGTCGAAAGACGCAGACAGAAACGAAATGTACCGCGGCAAATATGCGGATGGACGCTCAGTCTAGTATGCTATGCGGCAGCTGAGCCTCAAACCCGCTAAAAAAAAAAAATCGGGATTCTCTGCCCAAATGCCAGATCCTGTCATTAACGCTACCTACTAGCCTTTTCCAGGCTGCACATAGTATTAGAGAGGATCTGGGCGCGGGTAAAGCTCAGCACGTACCTTAGCCCTTTGTAGCCCCGCGGGCTGGTGCGTCATTAATACGGGTGGTATTCGATACGGACATTTTTAGGGTAACTTGCGAATTAGACGCCCCTTCTAGAGAAAGAGCACTGGGATGTCTTTACATAACGGGGCAAAGTCAGGTTGGAAATGAATGAATTGAGGAGAAAAACGCGTTAACATTGCTTGAGTGACCTTTTGACCCTTGTTCTTGACCACCACTGAACTTACTGCTACTTCAGTGTAATATTGTATGAACAAAATATTAAACTTCATATTTTTGACACGCTCAAGCATTTCCTTGTATTATTTTAAGTATTACCTATCATAGCGAAAGTCATGCAGGTAAAGAAAGTTTCCATATGTATTGACTTATCTTAGTATAAACCGATAATTCTGTATTATTCCTTGCTTCAATTCCCACCTTCCCCCCGCTCCAACTACACAGTTTATCTACTCTTTATCGTTGAGCAATTATAATTTGGAAAAATATAAATATTAATTTTAAATTGTAAAGCAATCTCCGTTGCCGATCCTTAATTTATTTATTACGCGTTGATCAGTAAAACAGATGTAAATTAAAAATAAGCTAGCACCCTACATTAACAAAGGTCTTCTGCCCCGTCGTCGTTTGCCTCTTAGCAAAGATTCACCGCCATTGCCTCTTGTTGCCTTCTTTTTTTCCCCATTGACATTGCCCGGGGTTCCCCAAAAAGGAACTGCTATTCAGCCATGGGCCCAACTTGAACCTCAGGCCCAAATAGCAAGACGTTTTTGTGTTTATCCCCGCAGCTGCTTGAAGGTATGGGGGACTCGCTGGTACAGCTCTCCCCATTCCTTACGACCAATAATATGCCATATTGCCCATACCTGACCCCGCCCAGTCATGGGTTATGCTCCAGTCGCACCCCGTTTGGCTTATATACCGCCGAGGTCGTGTACCCGGCCCGCAGTCCTCCGCTACACTGATCTACCTAAACCGCCATTACATATGCTATGCATTTCCAGCGATTTCAAGCCGATCCGCGCAACGGATGTTGTCACATCACACCCTGCCTCAACCTCAAAAGTGCCTAAGAGCGCATCCCTCCTGCGAGCCTCACGAAATAATGGAATGACCCGCCTGGCTTGGCAGAGCGATGATGTGTCGGCGCTCGACTTTGGAACCGGATGGAGTCCCGCGCTATGTCGGTAAAGCGCCGGATAGCTCCCCCCTGGCTTCACCATGGTTGCACGCCCCAGCGAGCCTGGGCCCATGCGCCCCCGCACGTCGGCCATCAGCCCCCTCCGCGACGCTTTGCCCAGCCCCTCCGCTCGCTCTTTCCCCTCATCCTCCCTCTCCCTCTCGCCACCGCTGAACCGGCTTCACCGGCATGACCAAAACAATGCCTTGCTCTTCTCGCCCCTCACTCTCGATCTGGCATTACTCGCCTCCGGTATGTCGCAGATTTACTCGCGGAGGTTCGGAATGTGCAAAAGACTCTTGCACGCGTGTATGGTCCAATCGCCAGTGCCGCCTACTTCCTTGCTCATTTCCCACGGTTTAGCATATCCTCTTCTATATTTCTGTTGGCTATCAAGCGACTTCAGAAATATTGTAGTGCGTCTACCGAATAGGCGGAACACACTACTGCTCGGATTGTGAATCTTCAATATTTTAAACCTTTCATCATAAGTGTTTACACTACGACTTAGGTGCCGCGGTGAATGTCGATGCGTGCTACGCTCGCTGCCCAAGGCCCGGAGCGGGGGTTGACGGTGGCCAGCACCCCTGCTCGCTGACCCGACCCCCGCTGGCGGCTGTCTGCGCCAAAGCAGAGCGGGAAAGAGCCCGAGCGCGGGCCGAGGGCCCAGGGCGTCGATGGCCGCTCGCCACGTGGCTGTGCGGCCGGCCCTCGCCCACGCCTCCGCCCTCGCCCTCGCCCCGCCCTGCCCTCGCCCCCCTCGCCTCGCCCTAGCCCCTCCGCCCCTCGCCCTCCCCCTCGCCCCCCTCCGCCCCTCCGCCCCTCCGCCCCTCGCCCTCGCCCTCCGCCCTCGCCCTCGCCCTCGCCCCTCGCCCCTCGCCCTCCGCCCCTCCGCCCACGCCCACGCCCACGCCTACGTATGTGCCCTTGCACTCACTCGTTCTCGTCCTCGGAAAGGGCACCGTAGGACCCGCCGGCATAATAGTTTTTCTACTCCCAATGTATAATTCGTCATTTAATGGCGACAGACCGTTGCATAATGGACACTCATTGCGATACAGATTTGGGTATAATACAGGTTCTTGAAACTCGCTCTTCCTCACTCGTATCGTAATATCACACTCCTGTATTAATACCCTTCATTACATCGTTTCATATTATACTATTTTATCACCTCGATTCTTCGTGATTCTCTGCGATCTCTTGTTTTGGTCTGGTTCCTACACTCGGTTTCATATTTCTTCTCTTTCGTATTTTTGAGAAAGTGCTTTAATTTCTTTGCAAAATTCAACAATTATTATCTAATAATATAATAAAATTATCTCTCAAGAAATGTTTTCCATGCCAACCACAATGATGACAGCAACCATGATGAAGTTGCTAGAGTACATTTCTTCACATTGTTGGTGTACGTATAGTCCGTAGGGTAACGAGAAATTATTGATTCCAGTACTAAAGTTGATTCAGCAGGATATATTTTAACACTTGATTTGTTTCGTGTGATACGAATCCAAGTGAAATGAAATAAACAATAGACATTAACCTGCATCATTTCCCACTACTGGCAATACAATACGATCGTCATCTACAATGCATTTTTTGAATAGCATTGTTGCAATTTGTTTGTTGATGATCCTACTGTACTTCTTAAGTTTGGAACGTAATATCTATTTTTTTTTTAATCTTAAATATTTTGCAATAATAAAAATGTTTGGTGTGGTTTATTTTTTTTATTAAAAGTTTAAAAAACACATCAGTGTTTTGCGTTTTACTTTCTTTACAAATTTTATATCAGGAATGTGAAATTAACCAGGAAAATGACGTTTCTGAGTTACGCGCGTTTTGATCAATAGTATGCATTGTCTTCCTTATTCCAACCCGCCAAAATATGCATTGCATAAATTCGTAATAGACTCTTATTTAGATGCAGCATGTTGTATTATTGTAAGAGTGTTGGGAAGTATGGGTGAAGTTAAAAGGCCAGTGTGTGTTGATGTTAAGTTTTCTGTGTATTACGGCAGTTAGTGCTATTCTCCCAGTTGCTCGTGTCTAGTGCTACGTGGACAAGCTCAGCGATGTACTAACGTAGAGTATTCTCTTTCATGCAGCAAGAAGCTTTGGACGTAGACGAGGTAGATCCATTGCACTCGCCTTGCTCCTGGATGGGACTTTGTTTTTTATAAAATTCAACGCCCCAGTTATTCTATTTGTTGAATTTTTGCTTGATATGTTGTACGCTCTCGTTTTAATTTTTCTTTACAAATTTCAATTGCAATTGTCGGCATACATGTGTTTCGGCATGTTACCTTTCTTTCGTTTTCATTTCTAACGCTTTCAATTACTCCGATATTCTTCCGTTTTGAAACGTTTCAGATGATGCATTCTGTGTAATTTGTTGTAAGGAGGCTTTGATAGGGAAAGATTTGTGTTTCGGGACGGTCTCCTTCGTATTGTTGGCTGATTTAACGAAAAGAAACAGCAATGGCCTTATTAAGGCGTCGACCTCGTTATTTGCTTGAAAACGTTCGAAGTGACTCGTTCAGAAGTGAGTATAACTTAACTAAAAATGTATCTTATTCGTATAATTTACCAATCAAAATTGAACCCTCCTCGTACAGTCCGACCATGTACATTTTGGAAGTCATTTTAATAATATTATCAAGTCGGATATATCATTTCAACCATTTCATTTTATATTTTCAGAATATTTTCGAAATTAGTTATGCTATTTAGATCCTGTAATGCACAAAAATATGTTCGAGACGTGGTCAAATCATGTCCTCCATGATCGTTATCTGAGACGTATTTCATTGTCATTGTTGTGATCGTGTAATAAAACGAAATCACATTAATTCTAATTTGCATGTTCGCATATTATTTTCGATTGAATTTGTTGCCCTAACCCCCTAAATAATTTATTTTGATCCTTACTAGATTAAAAACGCATGAAAACATCCGCTTTTCATAGTGCATGAAACATAGTTCAATTACATATTTTATTGTGTAGTTTTGAATCCGTTTCGTCATGCGGGAAATATAAAAAAACATCGACTTCGACATTTTGGAGTTTGTTAGAGAGTGATGTCGAAACGTTTTATTAAGATTTTTGTTAAATTCATGAGTAATTTGCACAAAACTCTGATTTAACCCATAATACTTACACTGACGAAAACAATGTATTATTTTTTCAAACGTTCAAAACTTACAAAATAAAAGAAAGTTGAATAAATTATTTTGTCTTTATTACCTTAATCTATCATTAATTATAGCTTGTTTTCAAGTAACAAAATATAATAATAACAGATATTTATAACTTGTTCAATCTCAAAACCCTTAAACTTATCATTGTTGTGCATCTGACAGCATGTAACTACATTAAAAAAATCATTTTTATTTCTCCCCAAAGCTATTTTGCATGCTATATTTTGTCATCTTTTTCAACTTAATTTTTTAGCATTTTAAAAGAAATAGCTTGCAGACCCTTCACAGCCTTTATTGACAATATGGAATTACTTCCTAACAATCACATTACTCTATTATTGGCTCGTATTGTAGTTGAAAGATTTTAATTCTAATTGCTTAAAATTCTATCCAGGTCAAGTCTTATCAATGCTTGGTCAATATTGTAGAACATTTTTCTCTTGTCTGCACCCTCATTGAATATTGCTAATAACATATTCTTTGTGAAAAATTACAATTCCGGCATTTTGTGAGCATGCGAAATGTTAAATTTTTAATTTTCTAACCTAATTTTTTTGAAAGCAACATCAGTTTTTGGATATACTGATAGGCCACAATAAAGAGAACATTGTTTTAATGTTTGCTTTCCTTTGTGTGTTTAAAGGCAAATCACCATTCTTCCCAAGCTTGGAGGAGCAGGCTGCTCTATTGGAAGACCCTGCTTCACATCTGGTGGATGGCCAGGTGCTGCCTCCTCCAGCACCTCCTCTCAGCTCCCCTTCACGGTCATCACCTCACAGTCAAGGATCGGAAACTGGCGAACGTTACTCCAGGAAGGTCTTTGTTGGGGGGCTGCCTCCTGATATTGATGAAGGTTAGCTCTTGCGCTAGAGACTATAAACAGTATTGTTACTTTTTGTTAGATTAATTATTTACTTCTTGTTTTTATTTATGATCTTGTCTGCTTTTATAGAACTTCAATTATGACAGTTAATATTGAATTTACTCAACATATGTATACATAATTTTTTTTAAATATTGATAAAGTCTGTTATCAACCAAATATTTTTTGCATGATTATTTTTGAAAACCTGGGGAGCATGTTTCCAGATGATTGCATTGAATTGTAATTTTCTGTCCTCTTTAGATGAGATCACTGCCAGTTTCCGACGTTTTGGGCCACTGGTTGTTGATTGGCCGCATAAAGCAGAAAGTAAATCTTACTTTCCTCCAAAAGGATATGCCTTTCTGCTCTTTCAAGTAAGGTTTATCCCTTATTTAATAAAAATTAGTTGTGAAACACAATATTGTTCTTCTACTTTAGAACAATACGTTCATGATCATCCCTTTTCCGACATTCGTAATGTTATTCTGCTATATACCTTTGAGTGACCCATGTTTTAGGGTTTCAGATGCAAATTGTAAGATCATTATCTATTTAAGATTTCACTACCTTTCCTAATTATGTATCTGTATTAATCAAATATGTCATTCCACAGGATGAAAGTTCTGTGCAGCAACTAATTGATGCCTGCATTCAGGATGATGACAAACTTTACCTGTGTGTCTCCTCACCGACAATAAAAGACAAACCTGTTCAGATCCGACCTTGGCGTCTCTCTGATGCTGATTTTGTACTGGATGCTTCAATGCCATTGGACCCACGTAAGACTGTCTTTGTGGGAGGAGTACCTCGCCCTCTGAAAGCTGGTAATCACAATTTATTTTTTGCATTTTGTTTTACATGTTTCTTGACTGCTTGGATTTTTTATTTTTTTTTATTTTTTACTACCATGTTTTCATGCAGGGTAGATTTTTGTCTTTCAAAAAATTTTAATTGTAAATAGTATTGTTATGTTTATTCTTAAAAGATCTAAAAGTAGTAAAATAAAAGTTGTATAGATCTCATTTGTTCTCTTGAGTGGAGTTATTAAACACTTAATGGCATGACTGACTGACAATATTTTTCTGTGCTATATTCCTTATGAGTAGAAAATAGACATCAATGATTATGTAAAAGTATTTGTTAAGTTTATTTATTAATGCATCACAATTGAAATTTACAGAAGAGTGCATAAGCAAAAACATTGTGCAGCATAATACTTTAGAGAATAATACTGTAAATTTACTTTCACAAATTGTTCAATAGGTAGATAATGAATTTTTTACTTCATTTCTTAAAGGGGCTGTAGCATTCAACGATTATTAAGTTTTTGTGAGAACTCATTCCTATTAATATGACTGTGCTATTTTTTGCAATGAAGGTAAATTGTTACAGGCTAAAAGCAAATTCTGAGGTGTCACAATACGATGTATAATTTCAGATTTTTAAAGATTTTATGACAGATAAAGTAATTAAAAAAAAGCATTTTTTGTTATTGTTATAGTTGCCATCATAGATTCATTTATTTAGTTATGAAGCAGTGATATAATTACCAAACTTATAAGTGTAAACATTGTTGTCTTTGTCATCGTCATCATCATCATCCTATTGCATTAAGTTTAAATATTTGCAAGTTGTTATTGCTGCTGCATTGTTATCATTATTATTAAATAACAACAACAAGAACAACAATAATAATAATAATAATAATAATAATAATAATAATAATAATAATAATAATAATAATAATA